GCACATATGCAACCACACGCTTTGAGTTTTTCTCTGTAGTGATAATGGATTTGCACTGATCTATCCACACTCCCTGCCTTGTCACCCTCGTAGTCAGCAGTACACATCTGTAGGATGTAACAGGCATTAGAGGGGCAGCCCCATGACAGCCTGGCACAGGATGAAATAACTGACCAACTCAGGGGTTGGAGCCTGAAACTTGCCCTCAGCACCATGCTTCACCCAACTTCAGATGCATAGGAGATATCTGAGCAGTCACTGGATCAAATGGCAGATGTCTCCCAGATACCCCAAAGAGACAAAAGAACAGAAGTCATGTTATGTAAGGCACTTGATGGAAAAGTTTAATGAAGATTTTGTAGTGAAGTAGGACTTTCCTCCCATACACAGAATTTAATCACTACCATAGAGGAAATAAGAGCCATTCTGAATACAAAGCCTTCCCTTCTCTCAAAGCTTTACTCATTGCCATCTCCTCCTCCATGAAGCCTTTTTCTGATGCTCTGAACAGAGATATCGATATCAACCAATACCAACAAATGTATTTTAAACAATTACTACATGCCAGGCACTGAAGTGATTACCAGGAGTACAAAAGAAGGCAAAAGAGTGTCTCTGGCCTCAAATAGTTCACCCTATGTAAATTTTGGTCTAAGAACATATTCAGGAGGTATCAGGAAAGTGAGTATCTTATTTTGTCTTGATGTGGGTTAAAAAGACATCTGTTAGATGTTATGAAAGTGGTCCTTTTTAAAATTCGGGGGTGACTGGAGTGTGGGTGGAATTGATTGGTCTGGAGTATCAGTGGTCTTAAAGAAAAGGTCTGGGATTCAAGGAAGCAAGCAAGCATTTATTAGGCACCTACTATACTCCATGTAATTCACTAAAGTTCAGAGGATAAAGACTGATACCTGTGATTTCATTGCTATAGGAAATTCTCATAGGCAAAGAACCTCCCTGGACCAATGCAGATCAGTAACTTATGTCTGGGCTTAGAGAGTTATTCAGGGTGCTGTTGTATGACCAGTATGTATCTGAGTCAAGACTTCAAGCTGAGTCATCCTGTCTCCAAGGCCAGCACTGTATTCACTAGGCCTTGCTGGTGGGCATTGTATTAAGTGCCAGGGATACAAAGACAAAAATCAAAACAGGATCTGCCCTCATGGAGCTTATGTTCTAGTGGGGAGACTTATACATATAAGGAGATATACAGGGTGGATATAAAGTAAATACAAGGTAACCTTGGAGGGGATGATGCTAAGAGTTGAGAGTGGGGAAGCTTTGGTGTGGGGCCCTTTGGGAGCTTAATGCTCAAGCAAATAAACCTATTTCCCCAATTTGAAGAAACTATTAATGGAAACAGGTGTGGAAGGAGGGCCTTGGCTTCATGCCATTTTTCTTTTAGAGAGTGAATTCATTTCATGGCCAATGTTTTAATAGCTCTTCTATTTTCTGTTCAACTGGAAAAGCAACAATGTGGTCACCAGCTGAATAGGCTGAGAACCCCTCCCTCCAGCTGCCTCTTCTCCCATACAATGTTAAGTAATTTTCTAGAAGTGAGGACCACTTGGACTAGCAAGCTTGGAGAGAGACACTAAAGATCCCATGCTCTGGGGCAGTGGCAAAGGGCTGGATTTGGAGTCAGCAGATCTGAGTTCAAATCCTGACTCTTAATACTTGACTTCACCTGTCTGACCATGAGCAAGTCATTTTTATCTTTCATGGGGCTTAGTCTCTTAATTTGTAAAAAAGCGGGGGGAGGGTTGGGAACAATTGATGAAATAACAACTGTGTTGTAAAGACAACTTTGAAGACTTAACTGATCAAAGCAATAGCCAACTGTGATTCCAGAGGACTGATGACATAGCACACTGCCCGTGGCAGTTAGGTGACACAGTGGATAGAGCACTGGGCCTGGAGTCAGGAAGACCTGAGTTCAAATCAGGACCCAGACACTTACTAGCTGTGTGACTCTGGGCAAGTCACTTATAATTCTGCCTCCATGTCCTCAGCTGCAAAATGGGGAGCATAATTGTACCTACTTTTCAGGGTTTGTTTGAGAATCAAATGAGCTAATATTTGTGAAGCACTTAGCACAGTTCCTGGCACACAGTAGGTGCTTAATAAATGCTTGTTCCCTCCACCCTCCCTGTCACCTAACAGAGAAGTGATAGATTCAAAGTGCAGAATGAAATATGTCTTTTTGGACATAGCCAATGCGGGGATTTGCATTGCTTAACTCTGCATATTTATTACAAATATTTCATTTTACTTTTCTTTATTTCTCAGTTATGAGAGAATAGGTGGAAGGAGATAAATGAATTTTTATTAATTGAAAATATGATAAAATTTTAATTCTATGAGGGAGTTGGACTACATGACCTCCGAGGTCCTTTCCAGATCTAAATCTATGGTCCAATGAATTTTAGATAGAAGTCAACCCTGGAAGCTGGGTGGGTCAAGGCCATAATGAAGAGAATGAAATGCTCTTTCATTGAATTTCATGTCATTGAGCCAAGTCCACAGTCATCAACCTCCACTCACTTCCCCATTCCCTCATGAGGGAGCACATCCCAAAGATGGAGAAAATAAGAGCATTGTGGGGAAAGGCCTATGAGGGCCAATGGCTAAGAAGCAAGCTTTTCTAGCAATGACTAAGAGTGGCTTGACTCTTTCCTTCTGCTCCTTTATGATTCCATACTTCATTTTCCTCTGGTGGAGGTGGGAGATGGGCAGAGGTCGTGTTAGTTGATGAATTTTTTTTCTTTTTTAACAAAGTGTTATTGCAAACCATAAGTCATATCCATGTACACAAATTTTCTCTTTATGAGGCTTTGAATCATGGAATCATAGACCATCAGAGATGGAAAGTTCTTTGGAGAAAAGGAGACTTGGGGGAACTTGATAGTAAGGTTCAAGTATTTCCAGGGCTGTCATCTGGAAGAGGGATTACACTTGTTTTACTTGGCCCCAGAGGGCAAAACTAAGAACCGTGGGTGGAAATTGAACAGAGGCAGATTTTGCTTAAGGAAAGGAAAATCTTCCTAATAATTAGAGTTGTTTCAAAGTTGGAATGGACTGACTAGCAAGGTAGCAAGTTTCCCATCACTCTAGGGCAGGGGTGGGGAACCTGTGGCCTTGAGGCCACATGAGGCCCTCTAGGTCCTAAAGTGTGGCCCTGATTTGGATTCAATCAAAGAGCTGTGCCTGAGGACCTAGAAGGCCACATGTGGCCTTGAGGCTGCAGGTTCCCCTCTCCTGCTCTAGGGCCTCAAGTGACCACTTGTTGGAGGTAAGATAGAAGACCTCCTGCTCAAGTTTAGGTCGAGACAAATGACGTCTGAGGTCCTTTCCTGCTCTGATATTCTATAATCTTAGGAAACCATCCATTACAAACCCCTTATTTTACAGAGGAAGACATCTCAATTGAGGATGATGAAATGACTCACCCATTTATAACTATTTAAGTTGCAGAGTTTATGACTAGAACTCTGGACTCCTGATTCCTTTCAGATCCAGAGTTCTTTCACCCATGCTATACTACCAGTCATCCTGTCTACCAAGCCAAACTGGAGCCCTTGGCTTATGTCTTCATACATGTGTGTCTTTGTGCATGGATGTCCAGGTCTATGATTGCACTGGTGTAGGGAACTCCCAGTGCGAGGGGGGGATAATTCTCTGATAAATACTGATTGGACAACCTTGAGCAACTGATAGTCCTAGAGGTTTTCCTAGGATACTGAGAGGGTCAGTCCAGGGCCAAATAGCCAGTACATGTAAGACACTGGACTGGAATCCCAGTTTTCCTGGTTCTGAGGGTAGTTCTTCATCTATTTTGGTATGGGGCACCATATTTAACTATACAAATATATTCATATCTATGTAGTGGATAAATAGACAGATGGATAGATAGATATGTGTTTACACATGCATATATGTATACATCTATGTATCTATAAACACAGAGATGTGCATTTATTAACTTTATATTTATGCTATATATATAGATATATTTTATATGCACTTATCTCCCCATTAGAATGGAAGTTCATTGTGACTAAGGATTGTTTCATTCTTTATACTTGAATCCTCAGTGTCTAGCACAATGCCTGGCATATAGCAGGCATTTATTCCACACTTGCTGATCGTCTGGTTGATATTACCCTTAAAAAAGACACAAAAGAATCAGTTCAATTTGTAGCTGCTTTCGTATCTTTACTAAAATGACTTACATTAGAACATCTAAATATATGCCAGGCCAGAGAAGAACTTAATTGGTATTTTTTTCAGTCTGTCTCCAGTCATTAGGGACATTCTCGGGGCAGTCTCTCTATGGCAGCTGGGCAGGACAGGGGGCCTTTCCTGGCTCTCTCCCCATTGCTGGCAAGATCCCTAGCATCCTGGGCCACTAACACAGCTCCACAAGCTGAGTGACCCTGGCAGACTGATGAAGATACAACGATCCAGTCTCGTTTTACCTTGGTTACAGACAGATGCATTGTTTGAACTACTGATCCTAAACCGTGTTTTGTGTTTTGCAATTTCTCTCATAAATCACAATGGGAAGAAAAAGAAAGAAAGCAAACGTGCCTGGAATCCATAGCCATTTAAATTATTGCTCTGTCTGGAATGTGTCGTGGGTCAGCAGGCAATGGGGGAGGGTTGTGGAAGTCATCAGTGGTTCCTGTCACCTGAGAAACCATCAGTTGTGGCCAGTGCCAAGCGTGTGTGTGTGCGTGCGTGTGTGTATGTGTATGTATGTGTGTGTGTCTTTGTTTCTCTCTTCCCCTAACATACACACACACCCTCTTTAATTACAAACAGAGAATAGTGCATACTACACACTTCACAACATCTGTTCAGGCCTTAATTAATCCAACCGTCCTACGATCACCATGGCAACAATGCTTAACAGACTTGAATGGTTCATTAGGAAGCCTTCCTCTTCATATGTGCTTCCCTTTATAGCCATTACTAATGTTTTTCTCAATTTGTTCCAGGGTTGATGTTCATGGAAACCAAAACGATTTGTGCCTCAGGAAACCAGGTGATGAGACCACCTTCCTTCAGCATTATCTTAGCAATACCAATTGCACAAACTACACCAGAAATAGAGAGGCAGCTCTGATTTTGTAATAAAGGGATTTCAAATCCCCAATCAAATCCTGATGCTACAAAGAAGTCCTGTACTAGGTAAGGTGCTTGCATAGGTTGCCTTGGTGGTATACCCTATTGTCTGAAAAATAGGGAGAGAAAACTTAAGTGTTAAGGGGAGCTTCACCAGGAGCTATGTTCCCACAACCTGTACCTCCTCCTGGACCTCAATTGAGCATCGATTAAGCCTCTCCACACCCACCAACTTCTCGACCAGGGCATAGCTTGTAAAGATGGAAGAAATGAACGGAGGGCTTCCAGGAAAGCCATAGGTACTGTTGATCTACATGAAATGAACAATCTGAAAGTCTATTTTTATTCAAAGGTTCATGTTGATGCTCTAACTAGAGCTGACTATGCGGATGATGCTTGTAAAAATAAGCATTTCACCAGAAAAAATTACCCAAATAACATATATTATCTATATGGATATTGGAATTGAAGTGGAGAAGAGGGCAGGGAAGCATGGAAGCATGGAAGGGGAATGAAGATGGAATAAACACTGGTATTTATTTAGAAATTTAAAGTTAGAGAGGCAATCAGCTAGAATACCAAGAAGCAGACCAACAAGGAGGAAGCAAAGGTGCCTTGATAATCATTAAGATAACATCCACTGTAAGGGAGAGTTGCTATAGGAGAAAAGTCACATAAATTTTATACCTTTTTCCATATAATGGGAAACACTAGAGAGAAGGAAGCCCCCAGACCAGCTCTAAACATGGTAAGGGCTTCACCAACACTTCTTAGAATGACTCATTCAGATAAGCCAGAAGCCGGGTGTGATGGGTAAAACTTGGATCTTTTTGGGTAATTATCTCTAATGGGGAGTTTGATTCAGTTTGGGGGCTATTGGGTGGTATTGGACCTTGGGAGCCCGGAAGCCAGTGACATCAAGTAGATGTGGCAAGAGGTATCTACTTCTATGAGGATGCAGTCTAATTTCCTTATCCTGTTTGCCAGTGATATCATTCTTGACTCATTTGTCCCTGGGCAAGTATCTGTCACGACAATTCAAAACAGCTTGTAATAGCTAAGTCTTATGACTTAATGGGCTTCAAAGCATCTGATTGGTATCCAAACAACTGGGTTTTAATTATGATGTGTTATAAGCTATTCATCCATGAAGCTCCTACAAAACTATTGACCCATGGCTCTCTTTTAAATTACTTCACCCAAAACAAGGTTCATTTACCAATTTTAAACATTTTCTTTTTTTGCCTCCACACAGAAGAAATGCAATCAAGTGGAAGAATTGAATTGGGTTCTAGGTCTAGCTCTACCTAGCTAATCTCAGATCTTTTTTTCATCCATTCATCCATTCACTTGTTCAACAAAAATTCATTAAGAACCAGCTGATATTTTAAATTTTTGAGGGAAACGCAACAGATGAAGACCTTGAAAGCTCAGCAAATCCTATTTCCATTTGAAATATCATATCATTGCAAACAGGGTTTTTTGGTTGTCGCTGTGATTAAAAGCAAGTGCCTGCAAAAATCAATGGTGGAACAGGAAACAAAGGTGGTGGCTTCCAATCGGATTCCAAAGTTTAAGAAGTTGTACAGTGCTCAATAGGTCTACCTATCCCATTAGCAATCGTAGTTATTTAAAAATGAAAAAAAATTTCTTTCAATGGATGTGTATTCTTTTTTCAAATAGCTACTAAATTGTTAAGACATAAATGCTTTTAAAGTTGTTTGGACCCAACTACTTAGTAAATAGAACTTTTAGGTATTGGTGGGGAGGGGGAAGCTAGAGGCCCAATGAAAAAATTATTGAGATGCTAAGGCTGTCATGAACTGAGAAAGTTTGGGGCCGTCCTGAGGGTACATTATTGTCTCAGGATGCCTGAGTTTGGGCTGCTCTCTGGAATCCTGAAGATAGATCATTCAAATATAGAATAATAATGTCTGACCTTGATCCAATCATTACATGCTTTTAGTTCTTGATCTTTCACATAGACAGGGTTGTTGGTGACTTCCTTCTAATATCCTTCTTCCCCCTACCCTCCTGGTTGCCCTTCATTGGCACAGATGTATCAGTACTTAGGGTAGTCTAATTAACATGCAATGGTAAGGGTGTCTGTTCTTGTCCTGCTTTAGTTACTGTCTCCAGTGCTTTTCCTAGTTGTATCTCTTTTTCTCCCTCCTTCATACCACCCTGAATGGAGGAAAGGTTGGGAGTTGTGAGCACTGGTTGAAGGAGAAGAGATGAGGGGACAGTCCCAGGGCTTTTTAATCCCAATTCAAATTCTAAGGGGCAGCATCCCGTCACAGAGGAGTTCTCTGACCATCTACAAGTCTGGGAGGCTCTCTTTGCTCACTCTGATTGCAAGCAGTTAACTTGAATCCTCAAGTTTTACTAGGGACAGCACTGCCTTACATTTCTTTGTGGGAAGGAGTAAAAGGGCCATGGATTCAGTATCAGAGTGTGTTCAAATTCTAAGTCAGCTACTGACTCACTGTACAAACCTGGATGAGTTACTTCTACTCCTGAGCTTCAGTTCTCTCATCAATCAATCATAGCAACCAACAAATCTTTATTAAGGACCTTTGTGCTAGGTTCTGTGTTAAGCTTTGGGAATAAAAAGACAAAAATGAAAATTTGTGCTTACCCTCAAGGAGATTACACTCTCTGTAAAATGAAGGATTGGGCCTAAATTAGTAGCATCATACTCAAATAGAAATGGATCCCTACTACATGTAGGTTTGATTATAGGCTACATGTCGACTTAGAATTCATAAATTAATATTATCTACATCCCATTGTATTTTTATTTAAACATTTCCCAATTACATTTTAATCTGGTTCAGGCCATACTCCAGAGTTTTGCCAGCCGTGAGCCTGACACCTCTGGAAATGATTTCCAAGGTTGCTTCCAGCTCTAAAACCTATGAAACAAGCCATTGGTTCAGTGAGGATGCCAATAGTTCTCAGAGAGCTTATTTTTAGCCTGGAGAAATTGGGTCACTTTTCTTTGACTTTATGTTACAGCTACATAGGGATCTTCTGTATGATTTCTGATGTAATTTAATGAATGACATAAGGAAAAGGGCAGAATTTTAATTAATTCCATGTGATAGAACCACAGGATCAGACCTTAACTGCCCCTTGACAACTAGTAGCTTTACTGAAAGGGTTCATCTGTGATTCCATTAAAATGAGAAAACTGCTCAGAGTTTCCTGAGGACACACTTCCTGTTTCCAGTCAGGGCATGAGGCAGGCTTGGCTATATGGTGTAGATCTGCCTTTTTGTTTCCCTCTTCTCCCTCCCATCCTCTGGTCTTCTTTGTTACCAAAGAGAATGAGCAGAAACAGGGCCTGGCTAGGTGGCAATCTAAGAGAAATGGCCCTCAAAGTCCATAATTAAAGCTTAAACACTCTGATGGTTTTCCAAGTGGAGAGTATTAAAAGACACTGGAGTTAAAGCTATGTGAACAGGATAAGCAAAAATCAGCCCCAACAGGAATGAAGGCTACCTGTATAAAATAGCCATTAACTTGTATAGGAACGGACATAGTTGGCTGCTTTGAAATTGCAAACAGCTTTGGGGCCATGGTGAAGAAAGCCCAGACCTGCCCTTAGAAATAGAGGGGGCAGGATCATTTCATTTCACACAGAGCAGACACACGAGAGCAATGAAGCAGGTCAGCAAGATCTCCAGCAAAAAGGGTTTCTTGGACATTCACTTCAATTGGCTCATTTTTATTTCATTTTAAAGTCCTAAATTATATTGAATAATAGAAGCATTATAATGATGTAGGGAGTTTGAGCTGCACAAACTGATTATAGGGTTTTTGCCTACAAATAGACTCATCTGAAATAAGTGGTGGCTTGAATTAAATGAAAAGAATCAGCATTAATGTTCCCCTTGCCTTCTAGGTGGGTGTATTGCACAAAGTACTGAACTTGTACATCATGAAGACCTGAGTTCAAATCTTGCCTCAGGCACTTATTAATTGTGTGACCCTAGACAAGTCATTCAATCTAGAGAGATGTTCCTCATCTGCAAATGGTTGGACTTGATGGCTTCCAAGGTCCTTTCTAGCTCTAAATCTATAATCCCATGAATTCTTCATCACCAAACTTTACCTGCAAACTCCAGTGAGACAACATTAGGAAATTCTGGATGACAATTCTTGACAATTACAGTAATAATGGAGCTAGCTCTTTTGATATTATACATTTTAAAGAAACAAATTCTGAGGTTCTTTGTCTCCTTGCCATACAAACAAGTAAGTCTACATGCAGCTAAACCAAAGACCAGTCTAAGTTCTTATAATGACTACTCTGTAGTATCTCGCACTTCTATGCTACTTTGCTTTAAAACCTCTATGAGTAGTGCAAGTATTATTTTCCACATTTTATGGTTCAGGAAAATGAATCTCAGAGAGTTTAAGCAAGCACCAGAGTCATGATAAGGACATAACTCCAAATCTAACACTCTGTCTTTATGCCATGGTACTTCAACTGAACATATGTCCTCTATACTGTACTCCAAATCCTTCATTTAGATTATAGGAGATGAAATGCTCATTCATCAAATTTACGATAATATTCTTGTAGGGCAGCTTAAAGTTGGGAACTTGGTTGCTATATATGTATACATATACATATATGCACATATATGTATATGTCTATGTGCGTGAATATCTTTTATAATATATACACATACATATACATATATAGTAGACATGTGTATATAAATATTTTATATGTATATATATATTCATATCTATATAATATACACACATACATATAAATGAAGGCCAAGAAGAAGACAGTTATCTTGCCCTCTTAGTTCAGCTTTTGTACTTGCTCCGGTCATCTGCATGGTAAGAATCAAAAAGTCTTGGTGAGTGTGAGGAAGGGGGAGGGTAGGCTCAGTAAAGACCATGATATAGACCAGAGGTGGGGAACCTGTGGCCTCAAGGCAACATGTAGCCCTCTAGGTCCTCACGTGTGGCACTTTGAGTTTAGATTCTGCCAAAGGGCCACACGTGAGGACCTAGAGGGCCACATGTGGCCTCAAGGCCACAGGTTCCCCACCCCTGCTTTAGACTTATGAAGTCATTTGGGATTTATTGGAAAGCAGCCCTCAGAATCATTTGGAATGGCATGCAGAGTAGGCAATTAAGACACTAAGGTGATTTATAACAAAAATTGGGGGCAATGATTGTGTATCCTTGTAGCAAGAGGAAGCAAATTCAAAGAAGACATTTAACCTATTAATTAATCTTCGCCTGAAGGTGTTCTTCTTTGACTGAATATGGTTGCTAATAACCCCAAATAATAATCATCAGCTTGCCCCTAAAGGGAGAGGCTTTTTAATCACTGTACCCTAACACATGAGAGCCAACACAACCAGCAGACACCTTGAAAAGATAAAGCCCAAAAGATGGCATCTAAGGGAAATTGAGGAACCTGAAACCATGAGAGACAATCGACAGGCAGCAAAGACTATATATATACAGGTATAGATCTACATATAGATACATAGTCACAAGAGATCATGAGGGAACAGTATCAATTTAAACACCTCATGCAGGCAGGTCCAAAGAAATGATCATAATAAAAAAAAAATTAGTGACTTGACATCATTAGAGGAATGAGTTTTCCCTCCATGTGTATGATCTGATCATATGTTTTCTACACACGCCTTCTTCAAATACAATCCTAATGTGTGTCTACTCCTCCACCGATCATGGATGCATTTGTGGGAGAGTGTGGCCCCAGGCTTATGGAGGAAATGCAACTATTCACTCTATCCTATTTAATGAAATACGTTTCCTTTGAATTGTCTCCTCCGGCTGACCAGTAAAAGCAATCCATAGGTAGAGACTTGTAAGCTCTGCTTATGAGTATATGTGGATCCACTTAAGAGTAGGAAAGCCCCAAATGCCACATTTACAAAATAGGGAAGTATATATAGACTGGAATTTTATACAATGTAGGAATTGGGACAGATTATTCCAAATATGCATGGTCTTTTCCCCCCATTATCTGAAAAATATGTTTTCTCTAAATACGAAAACATGATAATACATGGAAAGAATGAAAGTCCCTACTTCACTAGAGTTTGCATTGTTGATGATTTGCTGTGTCAGATTCTGATCCATGTAATTTTTTTCAAAATCATCAATGATTAAAAGTAATTCCAATAAAAAGTTTTTAAAAATTGGAACTAGGTTAGAAATTATATGACAAAAGACTAATTAACAACTCTTTTTATGAACATGAAGGGATTGTCATAGAGCAAAAATGAGTCAAATGTTTGCCATCACCAATGACAGAAAAAGAAGGAAGAGATTAAAATTACAGGAGAGAAGACTTAGGGTAAACTGGGCAGTCTTACCTTGGGGTCCATGAACTTGTTATTTAAATAATTTCTTAATTAAATTTCAACATAATTGGTGTCCTTGGCAGTACTATGTATTTTATTTTATTCATTTAAAAGAAATATTTTGAGAAAGGCTCCACAGGCCTCACAAAACTGTCAAAGGGGCCCAAGACCCACACAAAAAGGTTAAAAAAACTTTGGACTTGATGCAAGCTTCCTTTCCTGTAAAAAGTTAAAAATTTTTCAAGTAGACCATGGTAACGATGGGTAGGGCATTTTAAAAAACCTTCCCTAGAGATAGTTAGGAATGTGATAAACATGGCTCATGGTTTAGGAGCAATTCTGCTTGCATGTGAGCGGGTTTATTGAATAACTCCCCTCTGTTCTGTAAAATATTCCTTGCTGGCTTTTCCCATGTGATTGTGATTAAATTCAAATAGTGTGGCCATATCTATCTACCTATCTATCTACACACGCACACACATATATACATATATACACACACGTGTATGTATATACACATATATGTGTATACATACTTACATACATATCTTAATGAATGCAACAAAGCTCCATTTTAAACTGTGTGTTGGGGATTTGTAGGTGGGGGAGAATATCAGGGACTGGATGTTATTCATCAATATAGAGATTTTCCAGTGTGGAAGCTCCCTTTGCTGATACAAATTGGCAATTCATCAGGAAGTTATAGATCTAGAGAGTTGTCTGGGCCACTAAGAGGTTAGTTGACTCAACTAATGTTGCCCCGGTTAGCATCTTCCTGACTCCAAAATTGGTGCTCTAGCCCCTATGCCATGGGGACTTAAAAGTGAAATATTCTTGTGCCATAGGAAATGACAAAGGATATGATTTCAGAGAAACCTGGGAAGACCTGTATGAACTGATACAAAGTGAAGTGAGCAGAATCAGAGGAATAATTAATGCTATAATAACAATATTGCAAAATTAAACAATTTGAGTGAGAATTCTGATCAATGTAATCACCAACCATGATTACAGAGGACCAATGATGAAGAATGCTACCCATTTCTTGACAGGGGTGATAAACAAGAATATGCAGAATGAGATCCACATTTTTAAACATGGTCAATGTGGGAATGTTTTGCTTGATTATGCATTTTAGTTATGGGGTTTTCCTTTTGCTTTTTTGGGGAGGTGAGAAGGGAGGTAGGAAGGAGAGAAAATAAATGTTAATTGGAAAAAAATAATTAAAAATAAAATAAACTAATCGAAAAATAATCATTTAGTTATAAGCCTAAAACTTCAAGTAAAGAAATCAACTTGTTTCAAGACCCCAATACCCCTCCCAATATATGTTGATATTCAAGGTCAATTAAATGTCTTGGAAAGTCTCTTCTTTTAATATGAGGGTTTGAGGGCGTTTTCCTTGTGGTCTGAAACTAAATATCAGAGATTACAAAGTGGAACCAGTGAGGCATAAGATATTTATTGACACTGACAAAAAAGTATACAAATATTTCTGAAGAACAAGAGTTGGAAATATTTCCTGGTTTATTTCTACCACACAAAGACTGATATTACATTGAAGATGGGTGGGGGCGGGGGGGAGGAAGGGAAAAACTGGCTATTTTTCCTTTCTGGAAAAGGAGACATGCATTGGACTTCACAGCAGTAGCACAATTTGTTTGGTTTTTTCCCTTTAAAACAGTTGAAGGGTTTTGTTTGATGAGTGGCAAATGGATGTTCATGTTTTCTAGACTCTACTGGAAAGGCTGTAGGCCAAGCCTCTAACAAGAATTTCACTACATGATTCATAGCTGACTGGTGAGTATCTCTGGTCCCTTTGGATGATTGTGTTGAAAGAGGATACTGGATTGTAGCTTAAAGATGCATTGTAACCACTTAACCACAGTCATTCCTATCTCAAAGATTCACTCATCCTTATGTCCTCAAGTGAGAACAGTACATTTAGGGCAGCTGAAAAAGGGACTCTCCTATTCTCATCAGCCCTCTGTAGTCACTGTTTTTAGTAAATGAATGCTAAAAAAAGTACTCCCACCAGTCACAGAACTCTTTAAAACTATTTTTTTTTAAATCCAAATTTTAAGAGAAATTTGGAGATTCAAGATGATGAAAATACAATTTGAAATTCTTATCATGTCATTGTGATGTTTAAAATATTTCTGCTCATTTAAATTGGATTTCCCCATCAAGCACCTTTTAAGGGGCTGTGATAAGTTTAAAAAAATTATTTTAAAAAGAAGTGTTTTCAAAATAACTTAATTGTTATACTCATGTCAAAAAAAGGTCTTGCACAGAACATTAAATACAATTCTTAATGCAGAAAGTTCTTATAGACAGCAACTATGCACAATAGGAAAGCAAAAAAAAAAATACAACTTTATCTCCAAAGTGCTAGTGTTTTGTTTGAAACAACCATGACAAAAATCAATGACAACACACAATCAGAGGTAAACAATATTTTCTTCAACTCCATCTCCATTGTCCCCATCACATAAGCTTGCGGACGACAAGTTCGACTTAGCTTCGGGACCCTGCCAGGGCTGACCACTTCCAGGATTTGAATTGTATGTTTTTGAGCACTGACTTTGATTCTCCTCCAAATCTGCAACATAAAAACACATACATGTTCATAGAGTGCCTAAAATACCCCAAATGGACCATTTCTCAAAGAATCAATACCATCTTAGTTTTGTCTGTATTGTACTGAGAATTGCAAGCCTGGTGATAGAAAAGTCATGTAGAAAATGGCCACATTAACTAATAAGTGAGGGAATGAAACTCTTCATAGACACAGAAGCCATCTACAGCCCCCACTCACCATTCCTGAACAGTTATTGGAAAGGACTCAACTGGACAGAGCTGTGCATGCTTGCCAGTGAGTTATGGTTCATTAGATTTGTCCATTGGGACAAAGGGTTCAGAACCTTATGAGCACACTACACACAAATCTCTATACTGTTTTACATTTACATGGAATCTTTATCTGAAGATCTCAAAGCCAAGAATAGCTCTTGGGATATCCAACCATATCGACATAATCGACTGCTTTGTGATTTCTTTTTGACTCCCAGAGGTTAATAGGCATCCAGGAGGTAGAAGCAGAGTAGGACTGGATGAAGGGGATCTTCCCATTCTCACTACTATGCAAATCATTTAAAAGTAATAGAAATCATCTAACTGAAATAGTTAAGGCTCCCAGACTAAATCATTTCTATTACCAATGATGATGAGGCTTCCTATGGTTTCATAATTGTATCTGTGCAGTTACCTGGCAACATCAGGGCATTGCTGCTTCTGTCTTTTACTGGTGAAACCCACTGACACTGAATTTCGATCAGGGAATGAAGGGGGCATAAGAAGGTAGATGCAGAAAATTACTTTCTCTGAAACCTGTTTCCCTGACACTCTGCTCTTCGTAAGCTTTAAAGCACAATATGAATGTGAGTCATTTCACCATTATTATTCTTACTAGCCTGGCCAAATCATAACAGTGAACAACTTCTTAGGAATAGCACTAGATTGAAATCCCAAGCCGGGCTCTCATAAGCTTATGCAACCCGGGTCTAGTCACATGAAATTTTGGTTGCCTCAGTTTCTTCATCAGTAAAATAGGGACAGTTATCTGCTCTGCCTATCAGGATTTGTATGAAGATCAAATGAGATAATATTTGTAAGTCCTTTGAAAAATAGAAGTTACATAGGTGGAAATGGGGAAGGATAGAGATACTTATTCCACTGAGACACAGACCATGCTAACATTCTCTTTATGCTATGACCCCTCCTTTCCCAAGCACTGATAAATCTATTATTCAGTTTAATCTCCCTCATTATTTGAAATCGGTCTCCCATTGAAATAGTTTGACAAATGCTTTTAAAAATAATGCGAATGTTGATATTGTTGTCATATAGAAAACATCTCTGATGTTGGAATGATTTTCTGATGGCGACTCTTGGCTGCAACAGAGACAGTAAGGAGGCCCAATTTGGTCCAAATATAGCTCCTCCTTCCCCCACCCTTACTCCTCTCCATGAGGTGCAGGCTACCTTTGGCTTCCTCTACCTCTTCCATTACCACCCCTGTCTTGGTGGGCTGGTAAGTGAAGAGCAGCTGGTCTTCTGTGAAGCAATAAGCTGTCACTGGAAGCGCATGCCAAGGGCAGACAGGATAATTGTTCCAGGAAAGCTAACAAACAGCCCACAGGGGGCCCTGCATAGGCGTTAGACCATCAATGCCTCTTTAAATGCAGAGTGTGCCAACAGTAGAAAGAAAAATAACCCTGTTCACATTATGGTGCTGCTCAGAAATAATGACCAGACTTCAAAATGCTAAAAAACCTGGTCCTCTGAGGCTAGAGTTTAGTGACAGAAACTATAAATGACAGAAAGGCTGGAGAGATGCTACCTGTCTGATATGGCTGAAATTTTGAAAAACTTAATAAAAAGCTGGTACTAAGTTTGAGTCAATTTCTCAGTACAGCCAAACTAGGCTAACCCTCCATTCTCCATATAATTAAAAGATTCTCAATTTTGAGGGAGGGGTATAGCCTTCTAAAAAGGTCTTAGCTTCTCTTCCTTCTTCTGCCACTGAGATTATGATTAACCTAATTATCTTTGTATTTCCCAAAGCATCAGCAGTTGTTGAATAAATGAAAAAAATAATAAATAAATGCAAGTGAATAAATATACTCTGGCTCCTTAGGTAAATAAATGTGTCCTCTTTTTAATAGATGTGGACCTGAGGCACAGAACGAACACTTCTTTAACTTCAGCTGAATGCTGTGAGGATCATTTATCTGAAAGAAATATGAAAATATTTTCTGACTGTCTCAGAAACTGGTACAGATATTCAGTCAGCAACCTCTGTTTAACAGCAGCAAAAAATCATGAAGCTTTCATTTTCATTTTGCAGAGAAACTACAAGCCAGCTTATATTGCTTGCTCTAAGTTTACCTTTCTGATGATTTTACAACAGACTTTCCATTTCCTCTCAATTCCTGATCGAAGACATTTCACTTCTCATTGCCAGTACTCTTAATGAAATGACTGCCATAAATATTAAACTCCTTCAGAGTCCAAAAGGGTAACACCAACCTCTGCTTTTTAAAGCAGATTCTGCTGGATAGAAACTTTGAGCATGGTACATGAAACCCTACATTAAGAAGGAAAAATCTATAGCTGAAGGCACTGAGAAAAGACTGCTTAAAAGAAGTGGTACGTGGTAGAGAAAGAAAGAAATCTGCGAATACTGCACTGAAGGTTCTGGATGCTCGAAAGTCTCAGACAAGTCTAGATTTTTCGAGGAGAAGGCTGTTTGCAGCAGGGGCCAAAGCACAAAATGTGAATCATCACGTATCTCTTTCAGTAGAAATTATGAGTTTTTACTTTGGTGACTTTTTTTTATATTGGTGAATATAAATTTTGTGAAAGTAATTGGTGAATTACATTTTTTACACTGGTGAGAAAAGAAGCTGGAAGAAACCTTTAAAAGGAAAAAAAAATTAAAAGAAGAGAATCAATAATCATTTGGTTCCAAAGTGACTGGTATGAGTTACAAGTGCAGCCAAAAATAAATGAGTTACGCTGTAATTTCAGACCGATCATGGTGCATTGTTTTGATTGTATGTCACCTGGCCTGGAACTCAATTTCCTTCATTGTGGTTTCTTCTTGCTGTCTATCTGAACTGTGCAGGAAAGGTCAAACAGTTTGTCTTTGAAATTAGAAACTGTTCCATGATTCCTGATTTTATTACTCTTTTTCATCCCTAAAATATCTCCAGAAAGTCAGTGTATATTTATCAAGGCCAGCCCCGTTTGTCCACACATTTTACCCAAGAGAGAAGAATGATCATGTAGAATTCCAACTAAAAAAAAAATTTAAAACTGAAATAAAATCATATTGAGTTTTGAGACTAAAGTTTTGAAAAGGAAAATTAATCACCTAATTTCATACGTAAGCAAAACGCTGCCAGGATTGATGAGTACAAAAACATTTTTTTCCATTAAAACTCTCCTCCAATACCTCATCAAGGCATGGATGTGAGCCTGAGTTCTCAAAGGCTATGCCAGTCCAGCTTAAGCTCTGGCATGTTTTTCCAGGCTGGAAAAGCTTTTATTATGGTATGAGAAACATAATGTATCTTTTATCTGAGGACCAACCCGGGTTATCACCTGTAGAATGGTGACAGTACAGAATTCTTTGACCATGGGATGCATGAAACAAACAAAAATGCAAAACGGCCCCTTCTGCTTCTTCAGTGATACTGGTGATGTGGGGGAAAGGAGGGAGAGAATAATAAGACTCAGATAGTTTTTAGACCATCTATAAATAATAAGTTGGCTGCTGAGATTCTAAATGTGAGCTTTGTCCAATGGCTAAGGCAGGGGTTCTTAGTCTTTTTTTGTATCATGGAAACTTTTTGTAGCCTGATGTAGCTACAGGTGCCTTGTCAGAATAATTTTTTTAATGCACAAAATAAAATACACGGTATTACCAAGGAAACTGATTATATTTAAATAGTTCTTAAAATATCTTTCAAAAACAAGTTAACCCCTGGTTAAGGACACCTAATAGGATGACTTCACTCATATCATTACTGACATCCTTATTATAAATTAAATAAGAAGATATAATAAATATATCACCCAGCAGCTATCTGGTCAGGACACAGCCTGGTCAGGCAAGAAGAGTAATAGATGGACAGATCAAACGTCACACTGCTACCTAAGAAATGTTAAAAGAGGGGCAGCTAGGTGGCGCAGTGGATAGAGCACCGGCCCTGGATTCAGAAGGACCTGAGTTCAAATCCGGCCTCAGACACATAACACTTACTAGCTGTGTGACCTTGGGCAAGTCAACCCCACTGCCTAGCCAAAAAAAAAAAAAAAGAAAAGAAATGTTAAAAGACCTGAAGGGGCTGGGCATGGTACTATATGCCTATAGTTCCTGTTAGTGGGGTAGATGAGGTTCGTGGGTTGCATGAACTTGGTAGCTCTGAGCTACATTAAGGCTAAAGACAATCAGATGTCTGCACAAAATCTGTCACCAATATGGTGAGCCCCTGGGAGAAGGGAGCCACCAGGCTGCCTAAAGAGGGCCAAAGCATCTCAGGTCAGAAGTAGAGCAGGTCAATGCCCATCAGCAAGGAGGGCAGGCTCATGAATGGCTGTTGCGTTTCCAGCCTGGGAGAGAAAGGGTGAGCCAGGCTCAAAAAAGCAAACAAGAACACCTAAAGAGGGCTTTTAAAACATTGGGTAGGCTAGGCATTCTGTGGAGAATTTATAGGAGGGTACAGGTAAAGTCACATAGGATAAGAAGGCAAAGATGAGTTATAATCTCTGTTAGAAGGAACAGGGACATGGATGAGACCATAAATCCATTTATGTATGGGTAAGTAAAGAGCTATCCCTCCATTGAAGCATTTGATGCATCGTGGTGGTGTGAAGTTGACCCCGAGTTACCAAAAGTCATACTAACAAAATGGAAGGTCCTGCCGGGACCCGCCCAGCTGGGAAAGGCCAGTTTGAGTGCAGACCCAGCAGTCAGTAGCTTTTGCCTGTGTAGCTAATTTCAAAGTGTCTCATCATCCACCAGGTTCAGCCACAATAGAACTTGAAGACTATCTATTGGATTGGAAGAGGGTCCAACAAAATTACAGATTCTTGAAGTATTAAAGGAAAAAACTATTAGTGTAACAATAAGATACCAAACCCCAAAGCTAGTAGCAAAGTACTATTGTTGTTGTTATTCAGTCGTATTTTTGTAACCTCATTTGGGGTTTTCTTGGCAAAGATACTGGAGTGGTTTGCCATTTCCTTCTCCAGCTCATTTGTACAAATGAAGAAACTGAGGCCAACAAGATTAAGTGACTTGCCCAGGGTCACACAGCTAGTAGGCGTCTAAGGCCAGATTTGAACTCAGGAAGATGAGTCTTCCTGACTTCAGGCCTGCCTAATTGCCCATAGCAAAGTACTGAGTATACCGCAAATCTTTTATCCAAGTATTTCAAAGCAAATTTCATTTCTTTAATGGTCCTGGTATCCTCATGCAGGTAGTTGAAAGGATAAGATGAAACCACTAAGTATATCCTCAAACAGAAGACTCCCCAACTTCTCAAATATTCAAACGGATCTCTGATTTCTGGATCAGATCCAAACCTACCCAGGCCTGTCCATGTTTGAGAGACTCTTGTCTCTCACAAGTTTGCCACAGGGGAGTCCACCCAAGCTCACAAAAACTCATTCCAAATGAGTCCCAAATGAGACCGCTCTCTAGTTTCCACATGTAGGTTAGCTGGTTTCTTTAGGAAGCCAAGGGCAGTGCAGTTGGCACCCAATAACCCACAATTAAAAGAAAAATGTAGAGGTACATATCATTACAAAGCAACCTGTGTACTTTCCTAGCCTCTTCAGCTTTCTGCATCCTTGATCTTGCTCTCTTGGCATCTCTGGCCCAGCTTCAGCATGTTGGGCAATCATTTCCAGTTACTACCTTAGCTTGGAATGTTTGATGCCTGTTTCTAGCACTAACCTGACATCAGTATTCCTGGTTTTGATTGACAGTGACAGTTTATATCAATCCAGCCTAGTGCCATGGAGTACCCTGTACCCGACTTGCTGTGGAAGCTCCAGCCCCAGGTTCTACCACCTAATGGGGAGATATGACAATATCTTTTTGTCTTCTTTGTCCCATCTCCCACATCACACTGTCAGCAGCTAAAAATGCAAAATCTACTTTATATACAGGTAAAATGGTGGTGTACTGCTTAGTCAAGAAGCTAAGTTGGCATGTTTCACTTATATATGGAACTTTTCCTTAGAATATTTTTTTTTTTACCTGAGGCCAACTAGTTCTCTTTTTTTTAAATTCTTTTTTTTTTGGGGGGGGGTGTTGGGCAATGGGGATTAAGTGACTTGCCCAGGGTCAGACAGCTAGTAAGTGTTCTGTGTCTGAGGCCACATCTGAACACAGGTCCTCCTGAATCCAGGGCCGGTGCTCTATCCACTGCGCCACCTAGCCACCCCTCAACTAGTTCTCTTAATCCAATCCTTGCTGTCGCCAGACAGTGGCTTAGGTCCAGGGGAATTCCCCATCATTTTCCACAAGAAAATTATGTTCTTCGAGCCATCCGAACCCTAAGTTACTTGCTTCCCTGGCTCCTACAACCAGAACCTTCACTGACCTTGTAATTCAATCGTGACCACTGCTTCAGGAAAAGCTGGCTCAGCAGACAGCTCTCTTGCTCTTCTCACCATCTTCTTGACTTCTTGACCAAAGCACCCTTCCCAGGCCACCATGATCCCACTTTTTAATTTCTTTCATTCTCTATCAAATCTTGTCATTTACTGACTATCCTATTTTACCCTCCTTCATTTCAAGCCACTGACACTACTCAAGTTTATATTTCATGCCTGATCACTTCTCTTCTGGAGTGTATTATCTTTATGTCTCCAAGTTCATCATTACTATCCCTTTTTTGTGGATTAACTTCAGAACCACCATAAATATACTGAACACTCAAAGGACCTATGACTTTGTTAGCAGATCTACAGTATTTGCCGGGAGCTGTGGTGAGGGGTGGGAGGGTGAGGGAGAGGGAGGATTCTCACACCAGCGTAACTTCTGAGTGCTTATGACTTGATCTTCCTAAGACAATTCAAATGGAAGCAATTCCATTTCCTGGCATGGCACTAGTATATATTCCAGGTTTCACAGTCATATAACAATGAGGTCAGCATAACGGTTCTGTAGACCTTCAGTTTGGTAGTCAGTCTAATACTGCTTCTCTCCTTAGGAGCTTCCCAAACATTGAGCTAGCTCTGGCAATGCATGCATCAACCTCATTATCGACAACATCAATTATTATCATCCCTGGAAAGTATACTGCCCAGGTAAGTGAACTTATCCGCCGCATTCAAAACTTCTCCGTTTGCCATAACCGATGGTTCCATATATGGATGGTGCAGTGCTTGCTGATGGAGAACCTCTGTTCTCTTGGTGTTAATTGGCCAAAATCAGCACAAACAGCTCCAAAGAAATGTGAGCTGCACAAATTTAGAGTCACCTCCACCCTAAACGTTCATACAGACTCTCTGTGCCCATTCCATGGTGGAGCCTTCCGATCTTATATTGGCCTGATCAGCCACGGTTGGTCCCACTGCTCATTGACCCCAACACAGTGATGTCATTTTAGTCTTCTTTGAGAATGAAGGACAACTACATGACTTCATAGAGAAGTCCACTCGTGTAGTGAGTAAGGGCCAAAGCTGGTATTTGAACCCAGGTCTTCTCACCTCTAGGCCTAGCCCTCTATCCACATGCTGCCTTCTCATCATAAACTTGCATCCACAAAGCACTTTGTCATTAAGGTGATGTTTTGTTTCTAAGGAAGAGAATTCAAGTACAGTATAATCATGATAGAGCTGGGACCATCACAATAGTAAGCAGAGAAGGTTCCTATGACTAGAAGGATTCACATTTAAACTCACCAGAGCTTGTACCCAGTACCAGCAATACTGCAAAGATGATCAACTGTGAAAGACTTATCTGTTCTGATCAAGACAATGATCCAAGACAATTCCAAAGTACTCATGA